AGGAGCGGGCCGAAGGAAAGCTAGGGGTAGCCAACCCAAAACATGTTAACAGTCCATGAAGTCAATGACAACTGAAATGAACTATATTAATAAGTGCAAACTACCTGGTTGGGTTTGAGTGATTATCGTAACCAGTGGTTAGAGACTTCGAATGACATAGATCAAAATCGTTTGCACTGGTGCAGGCGAATTGTTGTGACGTGTGAGACTGCAGGTTTTGATAAACAGCGTATTTATCGATCGCTTCTGTAACAGTGGACACGCAAACACGTAGTGGACGACCTAGTGCCCTGATTGGCCCTGCTTCGCTGTCTGTCTTAGCCAGTTGAGTCAAGAACACAAGTCACAGCCTCTGAGTTATGAATCATTGTATTTCAGACATACTCTATTTATATACCAAACAAACAAACCACATCGTATCATAAAATAGGAAACAACATTTACAAAATATTTAACAAGTGAAATAAACATCCACCAATAAGAAATGTACATTTAAGGTCCAAGGCCACCATAGACTTAACACGATAATTACTGGTATGTTTTTCCGACTATCCTAACACGAATCTAACCTTTTCTTCTCCCAAATTATGAACTGCTTATTTCCTGTAATTTTCTTATTTCCCCAATTGGTATTTTCTCGAAATGTATCTACGGTCTCTAGTTTATTCTCTAACCACTCATACTGTCACTTCCTCTACTATTCTAAGATTTGGTTTGAGAATTTTACCTTTCTGTGCTAATAGGGTATGGGAACGAATGTTCATACGTCCCAGGTTCTTCGTTGTAAATGACTGGTTGATTGATAGCAGTATGGAACTACTGTATCTGATGCATATCTCGTAACATCGCCGTAGCTTCTGTTATTATTACTAACCCATCCCTACTAACATCATCCAATATTTTTGTTACCACTAGACGTTTTCCTGTTCTCACTATTTGTTTGAACTATTCATTTACTCATTCCGTCTGTTAGCTTATCTTTACTCCACTGGATCCTAAAATTTAGTTTTATAGTTTCTCATAATGCAACCGACCAATACTTTGTTCCATAATGTGATGGCTACTGGTCTTAAAAACTACGTCACCCTAAAACAAAGGCACTAATTTAGACAAAAAATTAAACCTCAATTAAGATTCAGATTTGTGTAGTAAAGGTAGAAGTCTCACGGCTTATGTTATTCCGTTTCTAGTATGCTTCTGTAAGTGTCTAGTCTTCTATTGCATGAGTTAATCGAAGGTGCGGACACCACTGCTTCGGGTAACAGGTTCCGAGAATTGATGACTCGGTGTGAAAAACCTGTATGCCACTAGTATTTTGCTATCAAATCAGTTTGCATTAGTACAACAGAATAACTACACTAACCACATTAGACGACTCCAAAAAATGTGACCGTACTGTAGAATCAAGAAGGGAAGACAAAGAGAGCAATCGATTTATGCAAACTTGTGACAAAGATGTTGGATAAGGAAACGCGGTCTTTTTGAGTTATAATGTGTAACGGATTCGAGATCTCATGTTGGGTTTTGTCATTGCGGATATGCAGTTCTCTTAGTTGGTAACTATCACTGTTTGTTTTCGACTGCCTTTATTATTAAACGTAAGTGCATCCAATGTGCTTACTAAGCTGCCGGTTCATATCTAATAGTTTTTCCAGCTCTCATCAATAACACTTCCTTAACATCTAAAGTGCTTTCAGGCTAGACAGTGTACGAACTGCCAAGTTTTTTAGACCGACAGACTACTCGCTAACAATGTCTATGTATCGGTTCTCGGTGGTATTAGATTCATACTGAGAAGTCCGGCTTGTTTTACTCGGTCAGTAGTTTCAGGGGACCAATTATATGATAGGTAAGCGGAAGCAGTCTAGTTCGAATAGACTTTAACTCATAAAAACCACAAAGTTGTGGAACATTCTATGTTATTTTAAGTCTTGCATCTGCTCCTACAAAATGGTTTAGAGTGTATCATGAGTGGCCCAAGTTTATTTGTACTCAGGTGGACGTAAATAAGCTTGTTAGTCACGTCTAAATATTGGCAGGAAAATGAATATAACAGTAAAAATATCTTTTTTAAACTTGCGACTCATATGGAAGTCATGTTATGCTGAATACAGTTACCTGTTAGGAATATTTAAATAAAATGACCAAGTAGAATCAAATCCAGGGTATGTACTAAGAAACGTATGAAAAAGCATCACGCATGCAATTGTATAGTTCTTTGACTCGCTTTTATGTAACTTATGTCTTGCTCTCTGTAGTTTATTTTTTAACCTGTTAAAAACTGAATAATAAATCCACCTTTCAAAACATGTAGGATTGGGTTTTTTTCTGTTAGACATTTCATCAGTTGTAGCTCCTGTAGGATAACAGTTAGATATCCATTCCCTTACCGTGATTGTGGTGTGATTGTTAATCTTTACTATTTCATGCTACACCTCACGGGCCAAAAGCCTCCAACCAAGGATCTCCGCCCAACTATGTCCCGGACCATTCTTTCCTGTTGTTATCAAATGCCGTTCGCGCTCCTGACGCCTGCCTCCAACTTACGGCTTCATATGTTCTTTAGTATTTATATCCTGAGTAAATGAAAATCACTTCGCAGTTTACACTCCTGATTTTTATATTAATCAGTGTTTCGAATTCAGGTTTCTAGCGGAATCATTAGCGTGTGTTGCTATATCTGGAGGGATATTGCTTTTTGCTTGGTTGTTCACCAACTTTGAATATGAAAAAATCTACCTGATGAGGTCTGCTGTAAACTTTGTTCTAAAGATTGATTCACATTCTCACTCACTACTATAAAGTACTCAAAGAAAAGTGATAGGGTTCGACTGGTCCATTAACTAGGTCATTGAAATAGTCACTGATAGTAATGGTCAAATCAAAGTACCATAAATTATTATCGACTGTACATTCATTTGACTGTATACTATCAGTGACCATTTCAGTCAGCTACAACGTAGGACCAGGCACATATTTAATTTTATTTAAATACATTGGTACAAGAACGCGCTAAATAGATATACCACATAAACTTAGCCACCACACTCCTCGACACAATTCTGGCTGGTCAGTCAGTCAGCTACAACGTATGACCAGGCACATATATGCATCGTTCCAAGTTGCCATACCTCATCAACACAACAAGATAGACACCGGATTCATAAAAGTAGTTAATTCAGAGGTGGTAATATATAAAAGGAAGACTGCGATAAGGATATAGTACAGGAAGAAAGAATTAGTTCGTAGAAAGAAAGATATGAAGCGATTTTAATCTCTTAGTTTAAGGGAAGACAGAGAGTGTATACACCGACGCCATTGTGATCGATCCTGAGCCATGTCACCCAGAGTCTCCAACCATTGGTTACGATAGTTAAGCGGACCCCAACCAAGTAGTCTGCATTCACCAATATGGCTAAGACTAGAAGTTAGCAACTTCAAGGACTGATAAAACGTTTTGGTTTGGCCACCCCTAACTTTCTTCCAACCATACCCAACATTAGTCACAGCATTGCGCGTGAGGTAGTCGGTGTTCGGAGATACGTGGCACGTGACTCAACCATCTCAATTGATAAAGATTTGCAACCCCATCAACTGACTCACCATCATTCCCTAATACCCTGCGTCTAATCTCACTTTTACTTACTGTTAGCGGGACATAGACTAGATTAAAGCATGCTCAATGCATGATTGTTTTGGTGCACGCTGATTGGCTGATTCTTATCCAATCAGCACTAGTCGATAGTCGGAGAATACTCTGGAATCTTCTTATGTAAAAACTATAAATATACCGACGTTTTCCCGTATTGTGCTTCTGACTTGCTATTTGGAATATAATCTTTTTCCTGTTCAACCGTGTTCTGATTTGGGGACTTGTCGAGTGGATCGGTGTCCGAGAATACTAAGCAATAGGAATAGCTGGGTCATTAACCGTAAGAAGAAAGAGAGACTATAACACTTACCCAATGATCCCAGCAGATGCGAGCAATATTTCTAAGGCATCTGTGGTTAAATACTAGTAGCTTACGAATATCTTAAACTCTTAATGGCCATGTTTCGCAGCCGTAAATTAGGACAGAACGAAATACTGCGTAGTTTACTCGTCCCCTCATTGATAGACGGATGTCTCGCGTACGCTATGTGACATAAGGTGGCGAAAGCCAAACGAGCTTTTTGAATCCGTGCAGGGATTTCGTCAGACACCAACCCATTAGGGTTGATCAGACTTCCAAGATAAGTGAAGTTGTCGACGCGTTCGACTACTGTACTACATGTCCTTAGTTCAAGTGTTGACGCAGCCCAGTCCTGGAGCAACAACTTTCAGAGAAATGCTTATAAATATACTCACACTTGACTGATCATGATACTGATACCATTAATTAATTATTGATAAATTAAGTGATTGATTTGGGTTATAATTTGACTTAAAATAAATGGATGAAATATTAATCGACAGACAAGATGCGGTAAATATGGCAGAAGGATTACTACTCACATGACCAGATTAACACAAACTATTGAATGAATCAACATCGAAGACGTAGTCACTAGCCATTCCAATAATTTTTTTGTTTTAGGTAAACTAACGTGCATGTATACAATACACTATACATAAAAAAAAGACAGTTAAAAGTCAGTGGAATTATAAGCGATTCAAAGTATGAATCTTACTGGTCCAAAAACTTCAGACCTCCCAATTAGGCTTTTTTCTTGTTCGACATTTCAATGAATTAACCAATGTTTTGAATGTGTTGTAGTTGAGCTCAGAGTTTTCAGCATTAAAAACAATTCTGTAATCAATTATTAAATATTATACGGATCTGTGTAGATTTGGTTCATGTAACTTGAAGTGTATGTTCATTACTACAGCAGTAAGTTTCACATATTAAATCTCATGTTCTTTATAACATAATGACTTGTCTGAAATTTTTATTCTCTGAATTTCCAGACTTCTAAAACTGTTAATTTGGTTAATCTATTTTGAATATTCCAAAGCTTACATGGCTTCAGCACAGGTTTATCGTTTCCAACAACGTATATCAAATCTTCAATCTCATCATAAACTTGCATCGATTCGACATTGTGAGGCTGTTAGTAACTATATCAGTCAAAACAATGAATTGATGAAATCTTTGATGGCTCATTTAAAGGGTCCAGATAAAAGTGTGAAAAGAACTAAAAGGATTACAAAACCTCGGACAACACATCCACAGGTAAATCATCTCAAAATTTTTTGTTCATTTTTCAGTTAGCGAAATCTGCACGTTTTTCTGCCAAGTCATATGCTATGCAGTCAACTGTCGAGCAATTAAACGCCATACATCACCATTCATTATACAGGCAAAAAAACTTTGTGAACCAATGTTTGCCTGAAGAAACATGGAATAATTTCGGTACACCGGCGACTAATGATGATCCTTCTGTGTGTAATTCCAAAGAACCGATATTTCCACCACCGACATATACAGAACCAAGTTTAAATTGTGAACCACGCATACTTGATGATTGCTTGTGGGAAATATGGAATGGAGATAATAATGTTCTTCAAAGCAAGCACCAAATGAGAACACAAACAAGTTATACCTCGTGTGATAAAATATATTCAGGTGATACCCCATCTTCTATCTATAACGGTGCTCAAGAGAAACAATATTGGAGTCGTGATGACGTGTCACTCGATATTAAGCAGCAGACATTAAGTCGCATTCCTGGTTATAACATACCAGCTGCACAACCAAAAGATTCTTACTGGTTGAAACAATCCACTTCCTATGGCGAACCCAAGCACTTACTTCTTGTCAATAAGCATGATAATTTGTATCGTAATGAGCCGTTGAGTACTGCACAAAATCCATTCTCTCATAATCTGAACGTCAGTTGTAGGAATAGTAATTCTTTACTGACTAATCAAATGACCAATTATTCAGCTGAGTTTTGTACATCGAATTCTAGTTACGAGCTAACCGGGTCGTCAAAAAACCATATTAATCCTATTCTAGTATCTACTTATCCGTCGGTAGGATCTGACATAAACTCTTGTCGATCAGCAATTTTTGATCCTGATGAATGTTTTAGGCCGTATTATGATTGTACCTCTTATCATCCATCCGGAAGCAACAATAATGGTAGTAGCAGTGGTGGTGATAATAGCAGCACCAGTAATTATCATTTTTATCGAGCAGATCTGAGCGCCCTACAGTCATAAACATCAAAACAATCAATGATATGAAAATCTACTGTAGTTCCTTTACTCAACTTTAATTTATGTGCACTTGTGTTATATTCTTCTGTTTTTTATATTTCCCCTTGTAAGTTTTTCCATTTGATTTCTAATTGAGATAAAATCATCAAGAATGAGTTTTGTGATACACATTAAGAAAAAGAATTGGACAATTCGTTTTGTCAAACTAATATCTTTGTTTTTCGCTAACCTGATTTCTATTTGTTCATATGATTATACATGTATGTACACCATAACTGAAATGTACAATTTCATTCAAACTGGAATATATAAATAATTGATAAGAGAATATGAATGAATCATGATACAGATGGTAGTTGGAGGTAGTCAACAGGAAACCCTGGACCCGGGTTTCGTGCTACTTGGCACTCGTCAGCAAGATGTACCTGTAATCTTGAGGGAACTGGTGCTCCCTGGCGGATTCGATCTCGTGTCACCCAGATTCACAGTCAGAGACGTTACCACTGAGCTATCCGAGCCGTGACTAACCTCCTGTAGGACTGAGATGTAATCACAATTGATTGATCACTGGGTGGTGATCAATGTCATGCTTGTCTAGTCCTTATTAGTGCAGATCGAATGCTATCGAAACCCGGGTCCAGGGTTTCCTGTTGACTACCTCCAACTACCATCTTAATCTCAATACATAGTGCCCGCAGTGTCGAGTCACCTAGACTGGTGGCCACATTGCAACATGATCGATAGCATTCGATCTGCACTAATAAGGACTAGACAAGCATTACATTGATCACTACCCAGTGATCAATCAATTGTGAATCATGATACTGATTTCTTTTTATATGTTGGCCAGTTATTTATGTGGTTTTAGTTAAACGTATCGTTCTAACTTTTATTTGAATATTCCCCGCTCTAGATTAATCCCAGTTATTACTGTACACCTCTTATTTGCCGATGGATATGGTATTTAAGTTCAGTAGACAGACATATGATACTGCTATCGAAATACATTTTATTAACGGATGATGGGTGTGCCTCATATGTTGAATTACTGTTTCTTTCAATGAAATGATATCTCGATTTGAAGGTAAGATGCACGGCAAAACTCCGCGACTGAAGATCAAACACCATCATTAGACCTCATAAAAAACATCTTTGTACGGTTATTACAATGTCGGATGACCATCACACTATATCAAATATTGGGAAATGAAGTATTCTCCAGTAATTCGATTAGTATTAGTCAGAAAAGGCTTTTCATTGCATCGCCATTTCGAATTTCTAGACCGCACACAGTAAGTTGATTTCAATCCCCCAGAACCTCTATTCCTAGTATCTCACTCCTTAGAACACCAACAAAACCTATCTAACACGTAATATTAAGAATTAATCCAAGTTGGAAATAGCCAGTTTTCTGAAGTTTAAGCGCTCCCTTCGGGGCCTGAAAAATTTGAGTTCAGTCCTTCGATAGTCATGTGTCCCCTTCACTAAGAACCCACACAAGTAAGAAACACTTGTCCCGCCGTTTCTCAATTGTGTCTCTGCTAATATCAATCCGTGAAGAAAACCACTACACATCCTTATTTTGTCTACTTACACATCTAGGTCCTTTTCTGTTTGACTTTCAGTAGCATTTTTGCTTACAAGGATAACTTGTTTTATGACATTTCGATTCATTTGGGATGATTTGTATTATGTAAAAACCTTGCGGATCTGCTTTTGAGTGGTGAAGCAATTAGGGCTCTGAAAGTGCCATAATTCAGAATATTCCAATGGATTCTTAACAAGAGCCTCATGGTGCTGCTAAGGTGTCATATTTTCAGTATGTTTGAGTAGTATACTTATCTCCCGAGGACCAACAATAAGTCCAACTATTGGAGTTGCAACAAACATTTCACGATTGAACTATGTACTGACTAATGCGTACCTCGCTGAATTCCCGAAGTTAATTAGTGACCTTCTATCCTTAACGATAAGACTGGAGATAAACTTAAGATTTTTATGTCAAATAATTGCTTAGTTGTAGAGAAGAATAATTAGTGTAAAATCCAGTGTTTTTTACTGACTTCTAGTTCTGGGTGGTTCTACCAAAACTCCACGCTCACTAAGGTTCACTCCGTCTATACGAAATAACTGGTAGTTACGTCTAGTGTCTGATTTTTATTCAAAAACTGAATAATATCCCAAATCATTTCTAATTGTTCAAACTTATCTATCAACCTGGTTGCAAAAGAAGTTGGTAATTCAAACTAGTCTCAAATATCTATGTCAATGCAAACTAACCAACCACAATAAAAAGGAAATTTGCAACATAACTGCTGACAAGGATAAGATGCTTTATTTATTGATGTAAAAGGAATAAAGGTTAAGGTGATAAAATGAAAAGTAAATTAATCTGTTTACAGTATTCAACAAGCAAACAATAATGACACTGATGAGGCATATTTATACGATATTATGCACTCGATATATAGAGGGATAAGTACCTGTATACACACATATTCAGGAGGAGCATTCAATAGCTTAAAACAGTACAATCGGGACAGACAGATGAAGTTTTCGCGAATAAATCGAAAGAGATGCTGCAAGAATAAAAATTGAGATATAAATTTTCATAAGTTTAAATAATTACGTTCAAAAGGACAACGCACCACAGAGGTCAAGGTACTTTATAAAATAACTATCTGCTAAAAGGCATATATATAACTAAGTGGTAATACGTAGCATTAAAATAATTTGTACAAATATCAAGGAAAACAAAGCAGATTAGATAAACGGTAAGATGAAACGCCTTAAATGAAAGGAAAACGAAGGGATAAAGGTTTCCATTCACAGGAATGTATATTTGTAGGAAGACTTGCAAAACAGCACTAGTTCGTGTATTATTATCATGAAAACTATATGGTGTCATTGAAGGGGAAAGAAGTAGCATTGATCTAATCAATCTTGTCTGATCGTTTCACATGTATATCTGCTCTTAGAGGATTCAAAGTGAGATCTAAGGAAGAGAAAGACAGAGTTATGACATAATAACTAGAAATGCTAAGTAGGTTGATTTTAGAATAATTAATGTTTTTCTTTAATATATTACCACCATTGAATTAACTACTATGAATTCGGTGTTCATCTTGTACTAATGAGGTGTGGCATCTTGGACCGATGTATATATGTGCCTGGTCCTGCGTTGTAGCTGACTGAATTTCCTGATATATAAACCTCAGTGTCAACTAAATTCCATAAAACTATTTCTCGGTAAGGTAGTGATTACTTAATTATGGAACATGATATACCACTGCACTTCAAACAATGTATTATTAAACTAATAACTCATGTGACTAAGTACAGTCTTTTGCAATCATCTCTGGATCACACGTTTATCGCGTAACACGACTACTCGGCTTTCGAAACCAAAGAAGGCGTGACGAGGTCTAATCATTTGATCGGATAATTAAAAGCTTACTGCTTTAGCGACTTAGCCACAGCGATACTTAGATATGGACGTAGTTCATCTTTATTTTTCTGAACAGGAGTCAACACTATTTGGTCTATTCCACAGTTCAGACTTACTGCCTGTGACTCGTTTTTCAAAGCAATAGAATTAGGGACGTTGCTGCTAACTCGACGACAGAGTTTAGTTAGAACTAAGGAATAAAGAGAGTGATATTTTATATTACCCAGTAAGTGGTATCTCTGAATACGTTACAGAATGAGGCCGGTCTGAATCTCGAAGTAGGTATATGCCTTTTCGTGATTTCATATTCGTCTTGCTGTTCATTCCATTCAATCGTTTTTATGAAAATATAGAACTTTCACACTCAAATTTCTGGTATTCGGTAGTAACTGTTTTGTCAAGTGTAGTGGTTTCATAAGGAATAAAGAATATATACTAGCTATTACTGTGTAATCTAATACTGGAGGCATATATGTACATCATTCCGAATGATTACCTATTTTTTTGGAAAAGTATGGTCGTATCGTCTTTTCCATGCTAACAATAATCAAGTTTAAAAAGTTTTATGAGATTTGCACGATGATCATCGTCACAAACTGGTATATCAACTGGAGCACCGCAGAGTTACTTGGTCCCATTTTCGGACCCCTCACTAGTGCACACTTATAATAATACATGAGATTGAGCTGAGAAGATTCAGATCTTGTGCTGAACTTGAATCCGATAGTAACTTTTGTGATTACCTTACGTGCAACTATTGATAATATTTCCATTATATAACTATTTGACACGGATTATAGCATTCTTATATCCTCCTGTTTGTAACCTTTTCATCTGGTTCATAAACTATTGTTGTGTTTTACTTTTCCTAAGTTGTTTTTAGTTAATAACGGACACCTCACTCAGTGTATATTTCACTTATGGCGTGGTCATGAACACATTGTATTTTCTCCATTTATGTTTACATTGTCAGGAATTTACTTTATATTATTGTGAGGTCTGAGTCGTAATGATAATCATACAATAGAGATCTTATCGATTTGTTGTGTTCTCTTATCGGAATAAATATGAGGGGGTAAGGAGATAAAGCCACATCGACGACTATCTCGGCCACAGCTCAAGATAATTCGCTGTCATTCAAAGCACAGAACGTTAGTCAGTGAGAAGTAATGATTTGAATTCTGATTAGTGAATCAAGATTTCAATCCAACTTAATCATAACAAAAGGATATCCTAAAATTATATGAATCTCTATACAAGATACTTTGGTAAATGATAATCGTATGACCGGTAGTGATTGGTTTCGAGGTGGTTTTGTTGGAGTTTGATGGAAAGCAATGAACTATGGGACAAAACCAATTCAGAAGTGGGACAGTAATTCATTAACGACGAGGGTCGAAGACTGAATCACAACTCCCGTAGACTAAAGTTGGGATTCTGAACCATACATTCTTATTCAGTGGCCGGACTGTGTTATAATTACATTCCTAATGGGCATGTTTACTGCTAAATCATGTATTACTTTTAACAGTTACTATGATTTTGGTGTAATATA